TCCCTAAAGGACAGATAATGAGGATCAGGCGCAATTGCTCGGATTATGAGACTTTTCACGTTCAGGCCAATATCTTAAAACACAGGTTTCTAGAGAAGGGATATAGTGAGACAACCCTTGATCATACTATTCAGGTAGTGGCGCAGATGAATAGAAACACCATGCTGACTGATAAAACAAGAAACAATCAAAAGAAAAAAATCTGCACATTTGTCACATCCTTTTCAACCCAATATAAGGCAATCAATAAAATAATGAATAACAATTGGGGTATTTTAAAAATGGACCCGGTTCTAACAGCAATACTACCGGAGAAACCGGAAATTGTATTTCGGAAAGCGACTGCTGTTAGGCACATGATTGCACCAAATGTTGTGGATCCTCCTAATAACATTTCTCTGTTTAAGGATCTAAAAGGGTTTCACCCCTGCAATAAATGCATCATCTGTAAGTGTGACAATACCAGAAAGAGGAAAATCAGTACATTCCAATCATCAGTTACTGGAAAAATTTATAACATTAAACATTTCATCTCTTGTCATAGCAAATTTGTAGTGTATTTACTACAATGTCCCTGCCAAAAACAATATATTGGCAGGACAACAAGACGTCTACGTGACCGTTTACGCGAGCACGTCTCCAATATCAAGAAGGGTTTCAGGGAGCACTCATTATCAAACCACTACCGCCTCCACCATAATAAAGACCCTTCTTCACTCAAATTCATTGGGATTGATGTAATCAGTAACCATTGGAGGGGTATTAATAAAACTACGGCAGTTTCCCAAGCCGAAACCAAATGGGTGTTTGAGCTCCAAACTTTACATCCTCTGGGCCACAACATTGAGGTAGACGTCAATTGCTTCATTGCTAACAACTGACGGTCTCATTTCTTATTTTTATTTTATTTTATTTTTTTTCATCTAATCATATATTGTGATTTGAGCCTTCTTTGTACATTATGTTTTATTTATGTTGGACTATCACCTTGGGTTTATTTCCAGCATGAGAGTTATTTTCCCAAGCTTATATCATTTTTCTATGTGTATAACATTTTAGCGTTTGAAATGTATCATGGGAGACTTTTTTCCATATGCTTCAACTTCTAGTATTTGTCATTTTATCATATACCTACTCTGACTGTTATACCAGTCTTTTTTATCATTAATTGCCCCCTCCCGCCCTGTTTTCTTGCGTTTATTTGGGCGACGAGCGTAGGAAGGAGTATATGGTTTCTATTCACTTTCTTCTGGTTTTAAAGTGTTTTGGGTATTTTACCCTTTTTTATCCTGATTTTCTGTTGTTTCCATATATCATTATTATGGGGCTTCTATTCGATATCCTGACTGGGTCTGGTATTGTGATATTGGATATGCTATTCTGCCAGATCCAATACACGATATATTAAACATCTGCGTTTTAAATTTTATATCCTCATCTTATTTCCTTATATCTAAAGTTTGTAGCATGTATGCGTTTGTATCCTGCATCTTGCCGTGGTCCGTTATATAGCTTATGCCATTCACTGAGGGGATCTCTATACCCCATAGTTCATTTTTGTGCACTGTTAACTTTACAGATACTGGCACTTTTCACTCCCTATAAAGGTATAGCATCTACTATTTATTCCCTGGGGTCTGTGACATATTGTTTACAGTTCACTCCCTGGGGTCTGTGACATAGTTAACAATCGTGTCTGGGTTTTTACATTGAGACTTCTCTGTCTCCTCCTCATTATATGGTAGATCGCGGATCCACGGCAAAATGGCGCTGCCGTGCTCGCGCATGCGCAGTGCACGTTTGTCTTCGGGAAAATGGCCGCGGCTCATTGCGCATGTGCCAGTTCCCTTATTTCTTACACTGGCGTCGGTCACACTGCTGTGCAGTCTCCCCTCTGATGATGTGCCTTTAGCACGAAAGGCCTAAGGAGGAACTGCACAGAGCGTGACGTCATATACCCGCCGGAGCCACGAGGAGGCCCGGCGTTTTACACCACTGGGGGTCAGTACTGCATCTGTTTACTCTATGTACTTCACATATCATGATGTACCATATGCTTACTGTCCTGCTGCTATTTTGATGAATAAACCTGAGATTTTGAACATACTACACTATTTTGGGCATTTGTTTTCTGGGGCTCCTATCTGGAGCTTCCACTCCCATAGAGAAAGCACTTTTGCCATCCTGAGAGGAGGTTTTTTCCTGGAGAAGGGAACACCTGGCTTACCTTAAGGGGATCCCCCGGACCTGTTACAGGAGTCTGTGATGACCCACCGTGAGGGAGACGCCTGGCTGCCTGGATTCTGATGTTCCCATTGCCCGTGATGCATAATCACACATGCGCATAACCCATGCGTTTCCGGTGAGTGCGCATTTCTGTTACTCTGATAAAGTGGAAGCCGTGGGATTCCGTACCTCTACAGTTCATCATTGTGATACCAGATTATCACTCTATTGACTTTTTATTCTTCTTAGCGCTGCACTTCAAGCTTCAAGTAGTGCTGAAGCCTGCTAACAGCTTGTTTAAAGTGGCAACCAGCAATACCATTATGGTCTGTGATCAGAATATACAAGCTGAAGGCCACTTTAAACGCTTCAAGGCTTCCTGAAAGCTCTGTAAATGTTTAGTGAAAGCTTGCTGTTAAAACTGCTCTTATATACTCTTATACTGCCACTTTAAAGGATAAGTTCAGCTTTTGGACAAAAAATAATAAATGTACATTTTTTTGCAAGTAAAAAAATGTTCATTTATTATTTTTGTCCAAAGGAGCCTGTAAAACATTGTACCAGCAATCAGTAGATCGCTGATGCTATGCAGGTCTCCTGCAGACCTGTCAGAATATCTGCTTGCCGTACTGGATGTAAGGTCAAGCAGATATTCTGAAAGGAAGCTTCATGAACTACCACGGCGCTCCATAGCACCATGGTAGTTGTTTGAAAACTACAAGCCAGCGGCCGCTAAAGCTGCCAGGATTTGTAGGCACTCATTCACAGAACTCTGTGAATGAGTGACACAGCCATGTGGGCGGAGCCCCGCACGGCCACGCTGTTTTCAAATCTGACAATAGTACGAGGAGACTTCTTCCCATACTATCTGTCAGAGGGGGGGGGGGGGGGGGGTGTGTGGACGTGGCCGCAGCTATGGGCACATGTTGCATTTTCCACCCTAAAAACAAAGCTTGCTGTTTGCAGTGCACTTATACAAGCTGAAGCCTGTGTGAATTAGGCTTAATATATGCTCAGGAAAACCCAAATGTGCATGTTTATACATCACAATCACAGAGAAACACTATATTGGCAAAAGTATTGGGACACCCCTCCAAATCATTGGATTCAGGTGTTCCAATCACCTCCTTGGCCTCAGGTGTATAAAATCAAGCACCTAGGCATGCAGACTGCTTCTACAAACATTTGTAAAAGAATGGGTCGCTCTCAGGAGCTCAGTGAATTCAAGTGTGGTACCGTGATAGGTTGCCACCTGTACAATAAGTCCATCAGTGAAATTTTCTTGCTACTAAATATTCCACGGTCAACTTTTAGTGGTATTATAACAAAGTGGAAGCAACTGGGAACAACAGCAACCCAGCCACCAAGTGGTAGGTAACATAAAATGACAGAGCAGGGTCAGTGCATGCTGAAGAGCACAGTGTGCAGAAGTCACCAACTGTCTGCAGAGTCAATAGCTAAAAATCTCCAAATGTCCTGTGGCCTTCAGATTAGTACAACAACCGCGCGTAGAGAGCTTCATGGAATGGGTTTCCATGGCCTCCACAGCTTACATCACCAAGTGCAATGCAAAGCGTCGGATGCAGTGGTGTAAATCACGCCGCCACTGGACTCGAGAGCAGTGGAGACGTGTTCTGTGGAGTGACAAATTACACTTCTCTGTCTGGCAATCTGATGGATGTGTCTGGGTTTGGTGGTTGCCAGGAGAATGGTACTTGCCTGACTGCATTGTGCCAAGTGTAAAGTTTAGTGGAGGGTGGGATTATGGTGTGGGGTTGTTTCTCAGGGGTTGGGCTTGACCCCATAGTTCCAGTGAAGGGAACTCTTAAGACATCGGAATACCAAGACATTTTGGACAATTTCATGCTCCCAACTTTGGGGAACAGTTTGGGATGGCCCCTTCCTGTTCCAACATGACTGCGCACCAGTGCACAAGGCAAGGTCCATAAAGATATAGATGAGCAGGTATGGGGTGGAGGAACTTGACTGGCCTTGGGATGAATTAGAGAGGAGACTGTGAGACAGGCCTTCTCGTCCGTCATCAGTGCCTGAGCTCACAAATGCTCTTCTGGAAGAATGGTCAAACATTCCTATATGCAGACTCCTAAACCTTGTGGACAGCCTTCCCAGAAGAGTTGAAGCTGTTATAGGTGCAAAGGGTGGGCCAACTCAATATTGAACCCTACAGACTAAGACTGGGATGCCATTAAAGTTCATGTGCATGTAAATGCAGGTGTCCCAATAGGGCACAGTAGGGTGCATTACCCCCCAAAATTACCCCACTAATGGTGTTTACCTAGAATACATACCAGTAGTTTTAATTTGCTTGGTCATCTAGTGTAGACTTGCTTTTTCTTTGCTCCAAGTCTACACTAGATGAATTACAGGGTTACTGCGAGTAACACAAGCAGTTCTAATTGGGACTCTGTGTTTACATGGATGGATCCAGCATTAACCAGTGTTGCCTAGATGGGTAGAACAGTATGATGTAATGTAGTTGCAATAGAAAGTATTGATGATTCACCTAAGCAGGATTGGTCAAACCAGTAGTTCAGTTACCTCGATTAAAGCATTATTAATACTCCTAAAAGTAATTTGAGCACTTTTTCCATTCAGATTTGTATAACTGTAAGCTTTAATTTCTCTAAAATGATGCATTAGTGGCATAGTCACATCATTTTGTTATCTGACTATAGAGCTTAAATTGATGGCTCATGAACTGTGACATACAATTATTGTTCATTACTTAAGACAAGTCTGGTTTTGCTTTGCAGCCGGGCACCAGTAATGAGGTCAGCACCACCTCCAGTGGCACACCCACCTGCTGCTGCTGCCCCATCCGCCCTTGGACCTGCTGCTGCCCCTAGACAACCAGGACTCATGGCACAAATGGCTACTACAGCTGCTGGAGTTGCAGTTGGTTCTGCAGTGGGACACACTATTGGACATGCTATTACTGGTGGATTTGGTGGCAGTAATTCAGAGCCTGCAAGGGCAGATATAACCTACCAGGTAAGAGTTGTATTTATATACAGTCATGGCCGAAATTGTTGGCACCCTTGATATTTCTCCAGGAAATCATGTATTTCTCACGAAACGTATTGCATTAACACATGTTTTGCTATACACATGTTTATTCCCTTTGTGTGTATTGGACAAAACAAAAAAAAGGGAGGAAAGAAAGCAAATTCGACATAATGTCACACAAACCTCCAAAAATGGGCTGGACAAAAGTATTGGCACCCTTTCACAACTGCGGATAAATAAGAATGTTACAAGCATGTGATGCTCCTGTAAACTCACCTGGGGCAAGTAACAGGTGTGGGCAATATAGAAATCACACCTGAAAGCAGATAAAAAGGAGAGACGTTCACTTAACCTTTGCATTGTGTGTCTGTCTGTGCCACACTAAGCATGGACAACAGAAAGAGGAGACGAGAACTGTCTGAGGACCTGAGAACCAAAATTGTGGCAAAATATCAACAATCTCAAGGTTACAAGTCCATCTCCAGAGAACTAGATTTGCCTTTGTCCACAGTGCGCAACATTATCAAGAAGTTTGCAACCCATGGCACTGTAGCTAATCTCCCTGGTCGTGGACGGATGAGGAAAATTGATGAAAGATTGCAACGCAGAATAGTCCGGATGGTGGATAAGCAGCCCCAAACATGTTCCAAAGACATTCAAGCTGTCCTGCAGGCTCAGGGAGCATCAGTGTCAGCGCGAACTATCCGTCGACATTTAAAATGAAATGAAACGCTATGGCAGGAGACCCAGGAGGACCCCACTGCTGACACAGAGACATAAAAAAGCAAGACTACAGTTTGCCAAAATGTACTTGAGTAAGCCAAAAGCCTTCTGGGAAAACGTCTTGTGGACAGATGAGACCAAGATAGAGCTTTTCGGTAAAGCACATCATTCTACTGTTTACCGAAAACGGAATGAGGCCTACAAAGAACAAAACACAGTACCTACGGTAAAATATGGTGGAGGTTCAATGATGTTTTGGGGTTGTTTTGCTGCCTCTGGCACTGGGTGCCTTGACTGTGTGCAAGGCATCATGAAATCTGAGGATTACCAAAGGATTTTGGGTCGCACTGTAGGGCCCAGTGTCAGAAAGCTGGGTTTGCGTCCAAGATCCTGGGTCTTCCAGCAGGACAATGACCCCAAACATACGTCAAAAAGCACTCAGAAATGGATGGCAAAGAAGCGCTGGAGAGTTCTGAAGTGGCCAGCAATGAGCCCAGATCTAAATCCCATTGAACACCTGTGGAGAGATCTTAAAATTGCTGTTGGGAAAAGGTGTCCTTCCAATAAGAGAGACCTGGAGCTGTTTGCAAAGGAAGAGTGGTCCAAAATTCCGGGTGAGAGGTGTCAGAAGCTTATTGATGGTTATAGGAAGCGACTGATTTCAGTTATGTTTTCCAAAGGGTGTGCAACCAAATATTAAGTTAAGGGTGCCAATACTTTTGTCCAGCCCATTTTTGGGGTTTTGTGTGACATTATGTCATATTTGCTTTTCTGCCTCTGTTTTATATTTGTTCCAATACATACAAAGGGAATAAACATGTGTATAGCAAAACATGTGTTAATGCAATACCTTTTTTGTGTGAAATACTTGATTTTCAGGAAAAATATCAAGGGTGCCAACAATTTCGGCCATGACTGTATAATATATATATTGAAAACATGTTTTGTTTTTTGGGGGTTTTTTTGTCTTTATTGGGACAATTTTTCTCTCATTTCCCCTGAGATGTTTTGGACAGGAAGTGATTGGAATCTTTTGGTCAGTGATGCAGACACTTCTTGTAGCAGAATGACAAGGTTCTGATTTTTACTGCTGTCTATATTCTTGTAGTAGAGATTTTTTCCTCATTCCTTGTGTAATTGGTGAGGAAGGGAAGTAAAGGGATTATATCACAGTATAGACAAAGTAATAAACTTAGCAGACAACCTAAACACTCCATAAAACATATTTGACTGAAGTTGGGCTTTTAAATGATAAATGGGAATCTACAAACTTGAGCTTTATACTCACACGTTTAGGAAAACACTGGTGTCCTTACGATGGTGAATGTGGGTTTTAAACATTTAAGGCCGCGTTCAATGGATGTTTTTCGGTGGGCACAGTAACAATTTGTGTCAATTGTGCCTGTTAAGTAAGTCTGAGCACAGGTTGTGCTTTTTATGTATTCCAACTTTGAAATGTGTTTTTGTTGTTACTATGGTTGTTTATCAAAACCAGAAATGTGCATTAGGCGTCTAGGACCTTTGATATATTTAGTGTTATGAAGGAATAGTTAAAGATGAACTCTAGGCTGATATAAAAGACAAATTAATGCAGCTCTGTGATCATTAATACATCATCAAATGTGTTTTTTATGCAAGCAGTGTAAGTACCTGAATCTGACCTTGTATCTGCTTCTTGCAGTCCTGTACAGCGGGGCTCAGACTGGTTGAGGAAAAAGCAAAACAAGGAGTAGAGAACAGACAGATTGTGTGTGTTTCTCTTCTCACTGTTCTGTCTCAAGCTGGATTGGACTTGTACGTGTTTATGTATCTTTAGAAGAGAAAAAAAAAGGTCTCTTGCCCTAGGCAGGTTGGTGTTTCAAGGCAGAGCTGTTTAAACTTCAGGACTGGATTTACAGAAATACAAATTGTTTGGCATGCAAAACTGCTTCATTATATGGATTTCATCTGTGTATTTAGCTGTTTCTCTTGAGTTCACCTATAGTATATATCAGTGGACTCCAAACTTTGGCCCGGGGCCAAATGTGGCCCTTTGCTTGCTGTTATCCGGTCCTCGTGGCACTATTTTCATCCACTGATAACAGTGGGACATAATTTTCCCCCCACTGAGAACAATGAAGGGGCATAATTCCTCCCAATAACACCAACCATGGGACACAGTTCCTCCCAATGACACCAACAATGGGGCACAATTCCTCCCACTGACACCGAAGATGGGGCATTGTTTATTCACACTGACCTCAGAGCCTTTTCTACTCCTAATGGCCCCAGTCCGGCCCCTTTTAAGCCTGAAGGACCGTAAACTGGCCCTTTATTAAAAAGTTTGGAGACCCTTGGTATATATGAAGAAAAACTGGCACTTGATAAAGGTACTAACACAACTGTGGCCTCAAATGATTTTCTTTTTTTTTCTTTTTTTTTTCTTGTGTAATTCTAGGAACCTGCAGCTCCACAGTCAGCTTATCAACAGCAGCAGACTCAGTACACACCATGTCAGTATGAGATGAAACAATTCTTGGAGTGTGCTCAGAATCAAACTGACCTGAAGCTCTGTGAGGGCTTCAGCGAGGTGCTCAAACAGTGTCGATTCGCAAATGGTATGTTCCCTACTTTTCTTGCAAATTTTAATTGCAAGTTGTAATTTTTCTGTTGCTTGTGATTAAAGGTAAACCATGGTCTTTTAAATATGTTGGATATGCGTTGGAAGGAGATTTGAATGTTCATATTATTAATGTGTTAGTACGTTTTGTTAAAATCATTAAATGTAGTTTTATATACAACTACCATAAGTACCTGATCCTGACTTGATGTCAAACTCTTGTAATCTCCTGTATAGCAGCATTCAGGCCGGAAAAGGGAGGGGCAGTTATTGCTTATAAAGATAATGTTTACAGGAGTTACAGGCAGGGGGGCAATCTCATAAATATGGTGGTGGTCAGCAGGCCGTGATCGGGTGAGTGTCTAAGCATTGCTTGACTGCCATTGAGAAAATGTTACTTCTCTGGCTGTCTGTCACAAAACTAGCAAAAAGGAATCCAAACCCCTAGACTTGTGAAAACTGTTCATACCGTACTCATTCATATGCAGTGAGCTGTTTGCCTTAAGTTCAGCTTTAACCCTTTTGCTGCCCCTGGTGTAGGACTTATGTTAGCCACAGGAGGTAATTAAATACATACAGTAGCCGGGAGTGCATATGTTAAGCTTTCTGGTGGATTTTCCTCCTTATCACTTTCACAAGAAAAGGAAAGTACCCTTACCCATATATTTGGGGTATAGCAGGTGTTGCTGGGTAGAGTGGAGCAGTGGATTCATTTGAAAGTGAGATTTATTAACTTTATGGTTCAAAGTTTCATTGGGGTCTGGAGATGAGATTAGGATCTAATAGACTCCTAAAAATCAATATAAATACAAGTGAGCTCTAAAGAGGCAATAAAAAGCAGCTAGCACAAGAAATGAACCCCTTCATCCACAAAAAATGAACATATGATAGTGCAGTGCTGAGTGATCAATTAGAAATAAAGCATAATATAAACATAATGTGTGCTCATGGGGTAATATATATATAACATCTATATATATGAAAGTCCCGAGTGAAATGTCCTGGGTGAAACAGAAAAATCTTCAGTGATACGGTGTGATGACCAGTAATCAAAACAAATGTGCCATCTGTGAGGGCACAAAAATGTCCATGACAGTCCTCCATCACTATACACTCACCAGAAATAAAATAAGATCAGGCTAAGAGCAGAGAAATCCCTCCAAGCAATGTAAAGCTCCTCAGCTGTAGGAATCTCATATGGTGTACCAGAAGTGGAATGGAACAAGCTCTGAACAGAGAGATCTTTCCAAGCAACAAACAGCTCCTTTGCTATAGAAATCTCATCTAGTGTACCAGTAGTGGATCTGGGAAGGAATGGAGGAATATTCCCAGGAAGAAGAGAGGTAAAACGGTGAGAAGGATAACCAGAAGGAGGCTCTTCTATCTCCTCCAGAGGATGGACTTCAGTGTCTTGTATGGAGACGTCTCTGGACTCCTTTTATTCCCGTTCCAGTGAAAAATGTTGGACTCCAGTCAGTCAGTAAGTCAGTTAAGTCAGTCAGACAGTCAGTAAGCACGGCACCCAGACTGCATGGGCTTTAGCAATATTTTGTTTTTAAAGTGTTTTTGTAAATCTTAAAAATAATATTGCCGTTCCTGTCCCTTTTAAAGCAATATAATCTGCATTGTGCTGTTCAAATCTTATATAATGCTTTCAGTTTAGTGTAATACCTGATTGATACTGCCTTTTCCTCTGTCCTCCTGAGTAAACTGACCATGCCAATCATGGCAGCCGATCCATGATGGCATGGTCAGTTTACATCTATCATCATGCCGCTCTGTTTAAAAACATGCTCTGCAAGAGCACAGCATGTCTGTGTTCTCCGCTTAGTTCTGTATTCTGCAATGACGCCTTAACTCTTCTCACCCGTCCTTTCTTGATTGAATGAGGATCCCCTAGAAGTGCATGGATTGTTCATTGACATATGCTACAGATGTCAATGAGGGAGAGCAGCCGCTCCCACATGAGTCCCCTGTGCTCGGGAATGGGTAGAAATTTGATCACTATAAATAAGGAGTACGGAAGTGGTATTTATTATTTTTTACATTTAAGAACGCTGCAAATCTAAGGCTATTAATTTAGATTGGAGAATTCCAATTTCCTTTTCTGAGTTTGCAACTACTTTATTGACAAAAAAGGACACTTTCCTGAATGTACAGTACTGCACATAGGCTTCTTTAAATGCACTGCTCAAAAACAATTAAAGGAACACTTTTTAATCAGAATATAGCATCAAGTCAATTAAACTCCTGGGATATTGATCTGGTCAGTTAAGTAGTAGAGGGGGTTGTTAATCAGTTTCATCTGCTTTGGTGATTAATGAAATTAACAACAGGTGCACTAGATAGGCAACAATGAAACGACCCCCAAAACAGGAATGGTTGTACAGGTGGAGAGGCCACTGACTTTTTTTTCCCCCCTACTCATCTTTTCTGACTGTTTTTCACTAGTAGTTCTTCACTTGCATTTGACTAGGGTCAGTATCACCACTGGTAGCATGAGGCAATACCTGGACCCAACGGAGGTTGCACAGGCAGTCCAACTCCTCCAGGATGGAACATCAAAACGTGCCATTGCCAAAAGGTTTGCTGTGTCTCCCAGCACAGTCTCAAGAACATGGAGGAGATTCCAGGAGACAGGCAGTTACTCTAGGAGAGCTGGACAGGGCTGTAGAAGGTCCTTAACCCATCAGCAGGACCAGTATCTGCTCCTTTGTGCAAGGAGGAGCAGGATGAGCCCTGCCAGAGCCCTACAAAATGACCTCCAGCAGGCCACTGGTGTGAACTGTTTCTGATTGTTTGGTCAGAGACAATGTCATGAGGGTGGCCTGAGGACCCGACATCCTCTAGTGGGCCCTGTGCTCACTGCCCCGGAACATAGAGCTCAATTGGCATTTGCCATTGAACACCAGAATTGGCAGGTCCATCACTGGCACCCTGTGCTTTTCACAGATGAGAACAGGTTTACCTTGAGCACGTGACAGATGTGAAAGGGTTTGGAGAAGCTGTGGAGAATGTTATGCTGCCTGCACCATCGTTCAGCATTACCATTTTGGTGGTCGGTCAGTGATCGTCTGGGGAGGCATATCCAAGTGGAGGCATATCCAAGAGGTTGTCTTTGGAAAATAGACCTATGGGTGCTGCCAGCATTGCTATAGAGGTTGAAGGGGTAGGGGTCAACCTGTCCGTGCTCAGAAGATGCGCCTCACACTGCATTAAATTGGTCTGCATGGCTGTCGTCCCAGAAGGAAGCCTCTTCTAAAGATGATGCACAAGAAAGCCCGCAAACAGTTTGCTGAAGACAAGCAGACTAAGGAAATGGATTACTGGAACCATGTCCTGTGGTCTGATGAGACCAAAATAAACTTATTTGGTTCAGATGGTGTCAAGCTTGTGTTACCGCAACCAGGTGAGGAGCACGAAGACAAGTGTGTCTTGCCTACAGTCAAGCATGGTGGTGGGAGTGTCATGGTCTGGGGCTGCATGAGTTCTGCCAGCACTGGGGAGCTACAGTTCACTGAGGGAACCAGGAATGCCAACGTTTACTGTGACATACTGAAGCATGATCCCCTCCCTACGGAGACTGGGCCGCAGGGCAGTATTTCAAAATAAAGAACCCAAAACACACAGCTAAGGTTAAAGGTGATGGACTGGCCAGGCATATCTCCACCTCTAAACCCTATTGAGCATCTGTGGGGCATCCTCAAATGGAAGGTGGAGGAGTTCAAGGTCTCTACCATGATGTCGTCATGGAGAAAGAGAACTCCAGTTGCAACCTGTGAAGCTCTGGTGAACACCATGCCCAAGGCAGTGCTGGAAAAAAATGGTGACCACACAAAATATTGACACTTTGGGCCCAATTTGGACATTTTCACTTAGGGGTGTACTCACTTTTGTTGCCAGCAGTTTAGACATTAATGTCTGTGTGTTGCGTTATTTTGAGGGGACAGCAAATTTACACTGTTATATAAGCTGTACACTCACTACTTTACATTGTAGCAAAGAGTAATTTTTTGAGTGTTGTCACATGAAAAGATATAATAAAATATTTACAAAAATGTGAGGGGTGTACTCACTTCTGTGAGATACTACATCTGAACATGAGCCAGAAACGCTGCTGTCTACTCTGGGCTAAAGCTCATTTAAAATGGTATGTTGCAAAGTGCAAAACTATTGCGGTCAGACAAAATTAAATTTGACATTGTTTTTGGCAACCATGGGTGCCACGTCCTCCAGACTAAAGGTGAACGACCTTCCAGCTTGTTATTAGCACTCAGAGACTGTGAACATGCTACAGGTGTAGTTGGATATTTTAGACATGCTGCAACAGCAACTAACATTTGAGAGTCTAGGGACATGTTACATGGTAGGTATCACTGTTAATACCCATTTTCCAACTAAATTTCTTAGAATAGACTGCTAGAGTTGAAGGGCTGCCCAACAAATCCCAAAGGGCCACATGTGGCCTCTGGGTGTTGTGCAAATTGTTAATTTGAATGTAGCCATAGAGCACTTTTAAAAAATCTTTAATGTTTAGTGAAAGTGATGTGCTAGTTAAAAATTATATAAAATATATATATATATCCATCTTGTATAATAATAATTTTACACTTTCCTTTTTTTTTTTTCTGTAGGGTTACCATGAGTGTCTGCTTCAACATAACATCATATTCCTGGGTTGAATGTGTTTCACTTGCAGATCGGAAAAAACCTTCATGAAACAGCTGATTTTTTTTTTTTTTAGAGGATTTACTCTGTTGGTAACTTCTATCAATCTGTCATCATTAATCATGTGTTTCTAAAAACAAATAAATAAATAATGGTGACAAAGAAATGACTTCTTGTGAACAAACAACTTAATCCACCAAATAGATTTGTACACCATGCCCAGTTCATAACATGAGAGGATGTTTAGTCTGCTAATAGATTTTTTTTTTAAAATTCCAATAAATGTTTTCCAAATTTGGAATGTTTTTTTTTTTTTTATGTTTATTGTATAGAGGGTTTTTATTTGGAGGAATTCCTGAATGGTAGCATATTTT